ACCACGGGAACTGCAGGCACCTGCAGCGCGTTCTTCCACAGCTTTTCCGTGATGTAGTCCGGGTGCTGTGAGTTCTCGAAGGCCAGGTAGAACTTATACCGGGCCAGGTGCTGCTGCATGACTTGACCTGGCAGTGGCCGGTGGCCCTTGCCGTACACGTCCACTGGGAGATGCAGCCGTAGCTGGTTGTAGTACCTCACCCTGGCCGATCCCTCCTTCCAGTTGGACACGACCCAGGCCACCAGCCCTGTCTTGGCTGAGAGGTTGAGTGGGGGGGCAGCGGGCTGGTCTCCCCTGGGCACCAGCCAGCCATAAGGCGTGAAGATGTCCGAGTCGCTGCAGTAGGACATGGTGAGGTTGAACAAGCCATCTAGGGCCTTCAACTGCCTGCAGTGACTGGGGGACTCCATGCTGAACCACACCCAGCGCTGGCCGGGTGGCCGCGGCGATGGCGGGAGCTGTGCCTTAGGCCTGTAGCTGACCTCCCGGTGATGCACGAGGACAGCATCTGCGCTCTGGTACACTTTGTGGTTTGTGGTTATCTGGCAGTCGGCTGTGCCGGGCCACAGGTCCGAGCAGCGGGACAGAGACACGGGCTTGTTGAAAGGCCACGTCCACAGCAGGATGAGCAGGTTCTGGGGCACAAGGGGCTGTGGGATGGATGCCAGTCCTGGGGATCCATTCAGGGTTCTTGCGATTGCATCTGAGCTGCTGGGCTCCGGTCTATGGTACCCCGTAGGACGGTCCCAGGACACTCGCAGGTATGAGAAGAAGCAGATGGCCAAGAGCAGCTGCACAAGCAGCCCAGAGAGACAGTGCCGCCAGGAGCACTGGAGCCCCTCCATGGCCCGGGCAGCTGCAGAACAGGGGAACACAGAGCATTAGTGGGGCTGTGGCCACATCTGGGGCAATGTCATTTGGAGGTTATTGGTGGAGCTTGCCAATGGGAAGTGTTAGTGTCCTAGTTTATAAATGAGAACACTGAGATGTAGTGATTCACAGCAAACAAAGAGAAAAGCAGGCGCTCTGTCTCACACTAGCTGCTGCCCTACAGAAACCTAGCAGCGCATGTGGCAATGCACACGGGTAAGGTCAGCACTGAGCAGGCTGAGGCAGGAGAGATAGGAATTCCAGGCCAGCTGGGCCTACAGAACAGCCTATCTCTGTAGCCCTGCCAGTGCCACCCACTGACTCAGCCTCACATCCAGAATTCCCATCCAGGAGCTGGTACCAGAGAGTGGCAGGCAGGCGTTGGAATGGACGTTGAGAGCCGAGGGATGGCGTGGCCTCCAATAGAGCAAATGTGGATACCATCCAAGTGCCCACTGGCAAATGGGTAAGTGCATTGTGGTTCATTTCTGAGGGGGAGCATTGTTCACCCCTAACAAGTATGAGATCTGTGTTTCCTGCCAAGGTGGCGCTGGACGTAGAGGCGAAGACAGTAAGACAAGCCACAGGAGACCTGGTGTGGTGGCACATGCCTGTAATCCCAGCACTGGGGAGACTCAAACAGGAAGATCACTAGGAGTTCAAGCTGTCTCATAGCGAGATGCTGTATCAAATACAGAGAGAGAGAGAGAGACAGAGAGAGAGACAGACACAGAGAGATACAGAGAGACAGAGATACAGACAGAGACAGAGACAGAGACAGAGACACAGACACAGACAGAGACAGAGACAGAGAGAGACAGAGAGAACACATGCGAGGCAGTTTGGGACTCCATAGCCAGCGGTTCTCACAGAGATCTACAGTCAATTCCAACACCTTGGGGCTAAGATTGTGGTCAAGCCTGAGCACTGGGCTAACAACCATCCCCAGCTGTGCCAATAAATTATAGCTACATTAAAAATAAAGTGACAGGAGCTGGTGGGGAAGAAAGGAGGAGGAGTCACTGTTCAATGCACAGAGCATTTCTGACAAATTCTCAGAGAAGGATGGTGAGGATGGTGTCACAACTCTCTCTCTCTCTCTGCTTTTACACTTGAATTATACATTTTGTTTTGTTTTTGTTTTTGGAATTATACATTTTAAATGGTTGCAAGGACTAAAAGTGGTAGGACAATAACTATTAGTGAAGTGCAGTCTCTCTGGGACCTGGAGTTGACCCACCCGAAATACAACCACTTCATGAAAGGAAAAAGAAGTGCTCTGGAAACCCACAAGGAGCTGACAGTAAAAGCAGAAACCACAGGGAATCTGAACGCAGAACAGAAAAGCACCCAGGAGCTTGCGGCCCTCCACTGGCTCTGGGAAGAGGTCGGCCCCTGCAGAAATCCTCTGTTGCCCCATCTCTGTGAGGTGCTGGGGCCCAAGCGCTCAGGGGATGGGACACAGAGAAAGCCTCCAAAGTGATACGGAACAGGATGAAGAGGCATGGGAGCACCAGCGGAAGCCCAAGGCCCAAGACGCATGACAGGGAGACAGAGCCCAACTCTAGCAGGCACCTTAACATGGACAGTGTCTGTGTCCTAGGTGATGCCCAGCCGCAGTACAGAAACCATAGGAGCAGGAGACCCAGAGCTGTTCCACAGAAGCAGAGGTAAAGGAGGCCATAGGCAAAAAGTTCAGAGAGCAAATGAACTAAATGCTTGAAGAGATAAAAGAAGAAGCACGAAGAGATGCGTAAGATGTTTAAGGAGCTCCGAGACTGAATTTAGCAGATGAAGAACTGTAATAATGATAAAGGGTTTGGTGAGCTTAAAGAAGGAGTGAACAATAAACCAATTGATTTTAGCGAAATGCCACAAGACACAATGACCTCTTTGGTAAAGAATTAGAGACACTGGCATGGTGGCATATGCCTGTAGTCCCAGCACTTGGGAGGCTGAAAATTGGAGGAACACTACGAATCCGATCTGTGTAGTGAGACCCTGTAGACCCTGTACTAAATACCAAAGGAAAAAAAGAAAAAAAAAAGAATTAGAGTGGATGCAAAGATGACAAACAGGAATGGATGGATACGACAAATTCTCAAGGGAAAGCATAAGTAGCAGACGTGGCCAGTGTGAGTGTCAGAAATAGAAGATGAGATGGACGTAGAACATTATGAATTAAATGATCCCCTAAAACAACACACACCACACAAGCTGTCAGATGACAAAAGAAAACAGCAACTCAGAATAAGGATGAAGTTAGAGGTGGCTTGAAAGTGATCATGAATTTATTCCCTGAAATTATAACAGAAAAACCTCCAAATCTAAGGGGAAACTTCACTATTCAAGAGCAAGAAATATAGCTGGTGAGATAGTTCAGTGGACTAAATACTTGCTTAGGCAAGCTTAGGGACTGGGGTTTGATCCCTAGAACCACATGCTGTGCCAGGCACACTGAGCCAGCCACCGAGACCTGGCACAGTGGTGCATGCCTGTAATCCCAGCACTTGGGAGGTTGTAAACAGGAGGATCACTACGAATTTGAACCATGTAGTGAGACCCTGTAGACTCTGTCCTAAAAAAAAAAAAACAGGATAGATAGCCCAGATATTTATGTCTTGCAAAGCCTTCAAAATCAGTGGCAAAGTAAAGGCTTTCCACAATAAAGAAATCCCAAAGAAACTCATGCCCTTTAAACTAGCATCCAAGAAAGTAGTTAAGAACATGCTAGACACACAGAGAGAGGCCAACTACCCCAAACAGTTCAAAAGAAAGTATATATCTAATTTGGATATTAATTAAACCAAAAAAAAAAAAAGCTAAAGGAATCAGGACTGGAAAAATTGCATAATGATAGAATTCAGGACACATCTTACAGTAATCACTTTCGCTGTCAGTGGCTTCAACTCCATAATCAAAAGACAGATTTGATTGATTGACAGATTTGATCTCAAACCAAAATATAAACATCTGTTGCCTACGGGAGACACATTTCATCCAAAAGGAAGTGCACAGACTGAAAAAGGAAGGGTGGTGATAGCTCAGCTGACTAAAGCACCTGCTTAGGAACCTGAAGGGACCAGGGTTCAATGCCCAGCGTGCTGGGCTGGTCCCGCCCTCTGGTGTGCTGAGATGGCAGTTGAGACTGGGTGTGGTGTCATGCACCTATAATCCCAGTGCTTGGGGGCTAAAAACAGGAGCATCACTATGAGTCCTATTTGTGTAGTGAGACCACATAGACCCTGTACTAAATACATAAATGAGTAGATAGATAAAAAGGTGGAAAATGACTTTATTCAATGTAGGGATGGAAACAAGCAGGAGTAGCTGTCTTATTTTTGGAAACAGCAAACTTCAAGCCAAAAGTAGTCAAAGAGACACAGACGGCCACTGCACACTGGTATGGGCAGTATTCAGTGGGGAGAGATAATGGTTGCAAATATCTATGTACTGAACGTCAGCACACCCAACACCATAAACAAAAACTACTGGACTTAAAAAGACAGATGGACACCAATACAATCATAGAAAGTGACTTCCACACCCCCCTCTATCAATTAACTCAAGCAGATAGAAAAAATGATTAGCAAAAGAACATCAGAGTTCAACTGTAGCACTGAACTAATGGATTCAACAGCTGTCTACACACAGAATTCCAAAGACAGAATTCACATTTTTCTCAACATCCTATGAAACTTTATACAAAATAGACCATATTTTACACCATAAAGCACACTTAAGTAAATACAAAAGAATTGAAATAATCCTGAACTGTAACAAAGGAAAGTAGAAAAAACAGAAAAAGAAGCCAAAGAAACCATGCAAACACAGGAAGATTAAACAATACATTACTGAATAATCACTGAGGCCTGGCCAAATAGCTCAGCAGATTAAAGCACCTGCAAGCAGACACAGGGGCCAGGGGTTCGATCCTCGTGCCAGGCGTGCCGGTCCCGCCTCCAGGATGTGCTGAGACAACTGAGACTGGTTGTGGTGGCACATCCCTGTAATCCCAGCTCTTGGGAAGCTGTAAACAAGTGGCTCACTGTGAGTTCAATCTACCAGTGAGACCTTGAACACTCTGTAGCCCCTTCTCTAAAAATACAAAAATTAATAATATAATAATAATAAGAAGAAGTAAATCACAGGCTAAATCAGGGAAGAAATTAAGTTTCTAGGATCAATTGAAAATAGAAGTGTGAAACACCAAAGCTTATGGGACACAGTGGAGGCAGTTTTGAGAGCCAAGTCTATAGCTATGAACAAAAACATCAACAGAATAACATAACCCCAGAGCCGGCGAGATAGCTCAGCAGACTAAGCACCTGCTTAGGCAAGCTCAGGGACCAGGGTGTGATCCTCAACTCTATGTGCCATACGGCCCCACCCACGGCCCTACTGAGCCAGCCTCGGAGACCGGGTGTGTTTGCACACGCCTGTAATCCCAGCACTGAGGAGGCTGAAAACAGAAGGATCACTGTGAGTCCGAGCTGCCTAGTGAGATCCTGTGCCAGATACATTAAAAAAAAAAAAAAAAAAAGTCTAACCCCAAACAAACAACATGATGATGCATTTAAAGGTCCTAGATGGGGCTGTGGAGATGGCTCAGTGGTATAAGCCCCCCCTGGCAAGCACAAGGG